GAGGTGTATCTGTTGCGGACACGTCAAATAACCCTGCAAAATTGCGCCACAAACTCTAGTGCGTGGGCTGTGAGACGCAGAGTTCAATTCCTCCCCACAACGTAGCAGGATCCAGCCACACGGAGTCGGAGCACAACTGAGCTAAAGTGGACTATGTTCTTTCGTAAACAACCAGTGTTACTTGGTGATTCCTTTCACCCATAAAATGGAGCATTGTTTCAACTGTGATTCGGCCTTTGTGAATGGTAGAAGAACCCTCAGAAGTCTGTTTCGTCTGCTCTTGTCTCCTCTTGTGGGTGGTTGGGAACCGGGTGGTCACCTGATGATGTGTGTCATTTAGCCGGCTGTTGTGTGTGCGTCTAAGTATCACTCGCGTCTAGTACCCCGGTCGTTTGCGTGTCGTTGTCAGGGTGCCATCCGAATAAGTGCGTGAATAGGTAGTGTGCTCGTGTTGCGCTTAACTCTCGTTGTATCTAACGAGACCAGGCCTGAGCAAATCCGTTACAATGGCGACAGAGCTTTCAAACCATGACAAACGAGTACGCCGATTTGAAACTTACGCTGCAGCAGCAACTCAAATTGAAGTCCGTGCTAACCGCCGAACTTTCCAGTTCTTCCTTTCATACACGTCTGATTGACAATTCTTTATCAGTGGACCATGTCGTTAGCGACATCAGTGAATTCCTGTACGAAGCCAAGGCTGGAGCAATGTTCCATTCTTGGTATAAGTGGTACGAGGACCTGTTCACCATTAACCTGACCTGCCAGGATGACGTGTAGAAGTTCCGGCTGCTTCGGCGTACAATGGGTACTCTCGAAAACCAAGGCTATACCAATTTCATTCTACCCAAGAAGTTACGCGATGTTACTTTCAACGAGACTTTCCGAATCTTGTCCCAGATTTTTGGCGAGCAGTCATCCCTGTTCAATGCCCGTTATCAATGCCTGCAGCTAGCCAAGCGTAATACCGACGACTTCATCACGAATGCGGGCATGGATCAGCGTGAATGCGAGCGCTTTCAACTTGGTTCGCTCACAGAGGACCAATTCAAATGTTTGCTCTTCGTTTCCGGTCTCTAGTCTGCACATGATACTGATACCCGAATGCGCCTCCTATCCAAACTACAGCAGGATACCACTGCCACACTCCAGAATCTGGTCGAGGAGTGTCAAACACTGCTGAACATGGAGCACGACTTAGTCATGATCCAGAATGCCGCCGCACCTGGTATGGTCCAGGCAGTCGCAGCATCTACAGCGCAATCGTCCGTGCGCCCCACCCAACCCGACGGAGCGAAGTCCCCTCGCTACCCGTGCCGAGTCTGTGGTGCCTGGCTTTTCCACCGGGACTGCAATTTCCGCCAGCACCGATGCCAACGTTGTGGCAGGGTGGGGTACCGGGATGGGTACTGCTGTCCCACAACTCCCAAGGGGGGCCAATACTGGGCTGGTTCCTACCCACGATCCAAAGAAGCGGTCCCAACCCAGACACAAACCCAAAGCTGGTCCGGTTGACAGCTCCCTGAGCCTTTTGACCAAGTTCCAAGTCAACGCTGCGGATTGTAGGAAATTCTTCGAGGTCTTGGTCAGCGGTCAGTCTGTGCGATTGCATTTAGGCACTGCGTCGGACATCACGATCAACTCCGAGGATCTGTGGCGATCCCTTGGCAAGCCTCCATACGAACCAACCTCCCAAGCAGCTACCAGCGCCTGTGGTGATCGCGTGCAACTAACTGGACAGCTGCAATGCTCCGTCACCTTCCAAAGGGCCACATTCAACAAGATCTGCTACTTGGTCTCGACTGGCTCGAAACCCTTGGCTTGGCCGATCTGCATCTTTGGACCATCTGTAACGCACTACATTCTCCGGCAGTACCAAGCGAGCAAACCGAGGATAGCATCAGACAGTCTTCCCCAGTGTTCCAGGTTGGTCGACAAGCATCCAAGTTGCCACCACACCAACCACTAGTACCTTGGCAACCGCCAGAAAAACCGTGGTCTTGAGAGCACATCTACTATGCTGGGCTGATAGATGACATCTCCTACCTGATCGTAGTCGACGCCTACTCCAAATGGCCTGAAGTGGTCGCCATCAACCCAGCAACCGCATCCACCAAGCTGGGTTGTCTACAACGAATCTTCAGTAACAATGGGCTCCTCGAGGTCTTGGTGTTCGACAATGGATTCCAATTACGTCTTCCATTTTCGAAGACTTTTGTTGCCGGCATTGCATCCAACACCAACGCTCACCGCCCTACCATCCCCAGTTCAATGGTCAAGCGGAGAGGTTTGTCGAGATTTGCTAGAGAGCAATCTTGAAACCTCGTGGGTAGAGGACCGTAGATGAATGCCTTCAAGCGTTTTTGCTTTCTTATCGGTCCACACCAAATCTAGCTGCTCCAGGATGCAAGTCTCCAGCTGAAACATTGATGGGCCGCAAGCCACGCAGTACAAACGAAGCGCTTAGCCCGATCAAAAAGCTACTAAGTCAATCTACTGCCTGCACCAAGCACAATGAATTCGTCGTTGGAGCCCTGGTTATGCTGGCGACTATCGGGCAGGTCATCCAAGCCGGATCAAAGCAACAGTGACAGCCCGTCGAGGTGATATGCTGCATGATGTCTCAGCGGGTGATGATACCTGGGTCCGCCATCGCAATCAACTTCGACCGCACCACGGAGAACCCTTCACGCCAGCCAGTCTTCCTGTGCACCTGCCGCTGCACATCTTGTTGGATACCTTCGGAATTGCTACACAACGGAAGAGCACGGTCAAAGCCGCCCAGTCGCCGCTACGTCTGGAGAACCCTCCTTACCGACGAACAGGAAGGATCCGGAGATCAGCGAAATCCCTCCAGGTCAATCTTCGTCAGAAGTCGCCACAGTCAAGTTCGATCAGCTGGATACCACATATCCGAAAGTGTTCTGAACGTAACCTTTGGTCTCATCCAACCCACGGTGGTCTGCCGCAGTCGACCAAGGGTCGGTAGCCTAAGTGATTATCATGCAACAGGATACCTATAGGGGGAAAACCGCAAGTTTGAGTTACGATGTGGTTTGGTGACGTGTCCCAATTAAGAGAAACAGCCGTCAATCGCTTGTCTAGGTGCGTGGCGGTTACCCAACTGGGAACTGACCACTGTGAGTCGCTTGAGAATTCACGCATTGAGACCATTGGCACTGACCACTTTGCTTGAGGTGTCCGCCCTATTTAGTGCGTGATACATGATCCCATCCCATACATAGCAATTGCTTCTATGCGCATTAGTTACAACTCTTGATCACCGGCAAGTCAGTTACTTGCCGTTGTGCAACTAGGATTGGTGCACTGATGGACAGCGGACGCACGTAATCAAAGTGATTGTAGTGGTGGGAATGGCACTACCTGTAATTCAGACGAAGTACATGACTCGTAGGAATCAGAAATATTTTAATGAATGCAGGGATGCTGTTGGCTTCGTGATCGCATCGTATCCGGTAGGGTATCCAATCATTGCTACGAATGATGCTGAGAACCCTAACTGAAAGATCGACAAGTATCAACCAAGCTCGGCAAATTCCTTTATCCTCTCTTGCAATGCCACTGATTGGTCCCCTCGCTACTCCATCCAACCAAGTACAGAACTGGTTAGTCATGAATGTCGAAATAGCCGACTCCAAGACTTACCAAGTACACGGTCAAGCCATCGACGATGATACATGTTCAACAATCAACCCATTAAGGCGCAGGCGATCAAGTACCCAATAACATATGATGAACCTTACCATTATCATCATTATTACCCAGTAGCCGAAGGTGAAAAACACACTTCAGATAACTGTGCCGCAATACAAAAGATAAGATATATAATAAAACGAGATAGTAAATATTACAGAATACAAAAACTACTAAATCAACTAATATAATGCTAACTGTCAGATTATGTACGCAGTACGACAAAGCACCTCACAACACAAATGCAAGTAAATTAAAACTAGAAGATAAAGGCCAATTGAAGCAAGATGGAGGGGACCAAGAATGGGGATTGCAAACAGGCGGGATGAATGTGTAGTTGGAGGGGGACGATAAGGGGGAAAATCGCAAGGTAGGGAATAAGAAGACGAGAAGGCCAAAACAGTAGCATCCTCAGAACTATCCACCCTGCTCGATGCAGCAGATAGGGCGCCGTTCATTATCCTCTGCGACGGCCAGAGCCTCAAGAAATTGTTTGAAGAGAAATTCAATGTATTACGCAGGGACGATACTGTTAGGTGGCCCAGGCCTATACGGTAGAACGATTGGGGTTCTCAAGCAAAGTCTTTGGTTCAAAAATCTTACCGCAAGGCAAAGTGTTTTTGTCACCCGACCACAGATAGTCTATTGCTAGGAGTAAAGGGCCACCGACATTCCGATTCCCAACCTGAAGGACAAGGAGACGGAGTTTATCTGGCCTCTGACAACTGACAAATCTGGTAGGAGTGGCTTTGAAGGTGTAAAAAGCACCACACAGTATAGCTCAATGGATCGTTGAGCGACGGAAACCATCGCACCACATTACGGTTCAGTCTCGTCGCGACGGTCAGGTTTCTGTTCCATACAGTAAAAATAACTGCACCAATCTGCTGTAACTCCCTCCGTTAACCGCTAAGCCCCACATCCTACCACCTATATAACTGACTAAGGCTTTGAGAGTCTACACGATGTTCAGCAATGAGCTCGCTAACGTTCGCTGGGTTATGGCCGTCAAAGGCAACACAGCTATCCGCATAACGACTAAGTTTTACAGTATTCCTCAATCCTACTAGTCGACTCGACGAGACTATTTGTTTGACAGATGCAAATGATCCCCATTTTACTTTTACATGCTGCGTGCTCGGTTGAGTACAGGTCTTTTTAAGCATACACTGTCGAAAACGCACTCGTTAGTAGCTAAGAAACCAAAGTTGGCTTGTGGGAAGCAATGGTTCTTAGTATCAATGAAAGGTTTAAAGCGGCTTCGCGAATGCTTTACACAAACTCACGTCAATACTGAATGTCTTCTCTACTCCTTCGAGCATCAGCACATGACAGAGTTCCTCATGTCCCGAGGGTTTGTAATCCAACACGGTGGCATTCTTTTTACCCAAACCCGATAGGAGAGTTCCCCCAGATTGAGCGATATCCAAGCTCAGTTGGCTGGCCAATCCGGTGGCAGCAAGTCCATTGTCAACAGATTCGGAAGCCATGGGTCGACGAAGACTTCGATAATACTCTTGTTTCGGCAGATTATCGACGATTTCGATGGTGCCATCTTGGAGTCGCTGCACACGGTGTGCGTCGTTAGGGACGTGCTACAACAGGAATACGTTCGACTCAGTCAGTTGGAAAAAGCATTCACATGAGGGTATTTACATATTAAGTGAAGAAATGGGGTACCCTGCGTGTGTTTGAGTGGCTAAGGTTTCTCACAAATGCCTAGGAAGAGAGGATACCATTACGGGCTACCGTCAATCACGTACGGAGTGTCTGCGCCTGATCACGTGATACACGTGCGCAAGCTTCACACGTTCGCAAGACCGACTCTTTTCCGTGTGTCGTGTACTCAAGGTGGCCCCCGAAAATGAGGAGACACAGGGTATGAGTCCGTCGAAGTCACCTGACCGCTTGAGAGTAGTGTTCTGTCCGGAAGGAAGGGGCCACGACCCAGCCGACAGACAAGCAAAAGCCCAGAAATGCTCCATACATTTGCCCCGACCGCTGACTGGCACGTTCGTGTACCCAGGCGACAACCAAAGGTAGTGAAGTGGCCATCCACTTGGGTTTTGTATTCGTATTTCGAGTGCGTCAGTGATAGGCAAGGAGTGTAAGGTAATCCTCAGCCTCTGTTGAAGTAATCGCTTGGATTACCGAGCGCTACATCCACAACACAAACCGTAGGAAAAAGGTGGAGTAGATGAAGTTGAGTACCAGATGATGACTACATTGTCGCATAGGGCGACAAGGGGATAATCCCAATAAGTTGCAATAACGTGGAATATGGGTAGCTTGGTTTGGCAGCTGACGTGTTGGTATGCTCACTGAGTTAAGCACTTAAGATGAGGTCGTTTCGCTACCTCGATTAGTGGCGAGACGCCCGTAACTACGTTGCCAAGCTCGGTGCGTATATCAACCTCTGATAATTAAATGCTTTTCGGAATACAACACAACCGTTAGATGTATCCCGATGGACCACTAGGCAATTAGTAAGAATTTTGATGGGATAACCAAATAGAAGTTATAAGACCGTGATGATGATATGAGTGCCCCTTCTAAGAACCAGAGTGTAGTTAGGCCTCACGAAATGAGCCCAGAAACACGGGGCCGCATGGTACACACCAAATGACGAATGTTAAGAACACTCGGAAAAAATGGCAAGAGCTTAGAAATGACGGTATGTGTAAACGGAATACAACAGTGTTTCCACTGCTTAAGCACAATAACTGAGACCCTGGAACTGCGCAGGAACTGAGTTTACTTATCCAAACAAATATCCTGAATCAGGAAGGCGCAGATTGGCGAAAAAAGGCAAACTTGTGGTTTGTATGGTGTATGTGATTGCAGAAAGTTTCCTCATGTTGACATGGGTAGCACCAAGTAGCTGACTTGGCCGGTCAGTCTGAAAAGAATCGCTATCCTTCGAAAGGATTGCACGTCTGGCTTGCAATCCTTAGGTAACCGGTTCGAAGCCGCATAGGGGCAGGCGTCCTCGCGGTATACACAACCCAAGCGCGTCCGGTGGGGTCGCGTGGCAGCAAAGCGCCAGTACAGTCTGTGCCGACGCATTGCTGCTGGCTAGTGTTGCAAGCCACTAGCGGGTTCGATCCCAGCAGGGGACCCAAGGAATACGCACCATCGACGAGTCCCACTAGGACGAAACGATCGTCTGGTGCGTTTCCGGATTGGTAGCATACCAATGCGGCTTGAAACCTAATTGCGATGAAGCAAGTAACAACGATCCCAGAAGACTTAAACATCTCTAACCACAATAGCTGGCTCGAGCCGATAAACACTGCTATATGTTGCAAAATAAACACATTTGCCGTGGAAAGTGCATCCATTGCGAATTCACTGCTTATTTAGACACATGGTTAGATTCCGTCTCCGAGCTCGTTTTGTCCTCTTTAAGTGTACTTACACAACCAGTAGGTAACACGTTGCGCAGCCCACAAGAACAGTACAAAGCTTGACTAGTTTTCAGAGAAGAACACAAAGAAATCAAAAGCTCAATCACAATATTCAACGATTTGCATGGCTTATCAGCTACTGCTTCTTTGTATTGGCCCCCTACCTTCATTCCTTAGCAATACATTTTCTTTCAAACTCCCACGCTTATCTGGGTGTGTAATTGTCTGAGCGGATCAGCACATTACTTCTCACGAACCAGGATCCGATAGCTGGGCCATGTGTCTCGCATGCTAGCCCACCGACTCCTGCGACGTGGGTTGTTTTCGCGCCGGTGGTGGTGCGGATGGAAGGTGGGGTGGCCAAGCGATGACTTGGTCAACAGGAATGAAGGCCCTTACTTCGAAGTTGGCCTCGGTTGGAGCTTCTCGGTTCCCTGGTTGAGGACCGAAGGACGAAAAACATCTTTGGCTGCAGACACTTGTTACCACGGCCAGGTGCCGACCTCAATGGCGTCTGTGTGGTGAGTTTCTTCATCCCTTCCCCTTCAGCTTAGTCCCTCCCTCCAACCACGATCTCATGCATTAGGCATTAGATAACTCCATTTTTGCGGCACAATAGCCGGCTGTTAGTTCTCCGGAACGATGTCCATCCGCTATTGGTGACTCAGCCACCGTGCCTCTCATTCATGTTTTCTTGTCTTTTCTTTTGTAATGCGGCACAATAGCTGAGGTGATTTCCACCTGCAGCTAACGTGTATAATGAACGAATGAATGGCGGTTACTTCCCGCCCCATTCAAATTAGAGTAAACCAGTCCTGAGCCGTCTATCTAACCCACACCGTGGGTATCGGCGCTATAATTTACTAATAGAATGTATTCATGAGTAGAGGATATTGATGTAATTACTTGGAAGTTCGCTGTCGGGACTCATCGTTACTGGGTATCCATCTGAGCAATCAGGATTCGAACCCATGCGCGCTGGCTGCTTTCACCACCAGCCACTGGCTTATGCCACTGGGCCACGGGTACTAGTAGTAGTAATCTCAACAGTCTAGTAAATAGACATAGAACCTAGCAAAAACCATGGAGATTTAGCAGATAAAGAGCAGAGTCGCCGCGTCATAATCATCGTGGCATATAGTTGAAGGTGAACAACACGCTTCAGCTACTGTGTGGCAGGAAGAAAGGAACACTTGAAAAAAATAGAACACAACATTTTAGTTTGTTCTTCACACGTCGATTTTTTGTCAATTGCAATGTTTGAAGTACTAGACCTGTAAATCAATACAATTCGGTAGACAATTCTTCAACTGCTACCGGTTGCGGGTAATGTCTTCAAGCGTGTTAAGCCATTGGCAGTCCTCATCCTTGGGTCCCCATCCTGGAAGACCTACGGGTCCAACGGTAGCTAGACGCGACGTCAGCGATTTCATGTGATGTCGCTAAGTGGAAGGCTGACCACCACGCGGTCGTCTCCATCCAGGTCCTTGCGGAGTGAATAAAGCGCGACGCGGTAGACGCTCAGGTGCCATGTGTAAGAGGTGACCGAGCCATCTCAACTCGCGCAGCAAAATCATTGTTGAATGGAATACTCGCATTCCCCAAGACGCGACGTCGAACGTCATCACTGTGAACACGATGTTGCCACCGACCACAAGCGATTCTCCTTAAATAACCGTTGTCGAAGGCAGAAAGACGACGCATGTCTTCCACGCGAACTGGCTAGGACTCGGTCCCATACAACAATACTGAACGAAAGATGTGCTGTAAATATGGTCCTTTAGCGAGAATGAGACGTCGTGACGTGGCCACAAGTGCCTCAGATTGACAAATGCTGATCGGGCTTTAGCGATGCGAAGAGAAGCCTCCTTGCTGATAGTACCATCAGCAGAAACACATGGCCCAAGCTAGACAATACTATTTACCTGTTCAAGTTGTGCACCTTCAAGAATGAGCAAGGGAGCAGGTGAAGGCCAATCCTGGAGCAGCACTTTGCACTTCCATAGAGCGAACCTCCTGCCATACTTAGATGCTTCAACCGCAAAACGATCCAGAATGAGTTGCATATCCTGATGCGATAGTATCAGCATAATTTAAGTCAGTCCCGCGCTCACCTGGTAGAAGCTCTAGGCCAAAATGTTGGCAACCTTCTAGAGCAGTCGAAAAACGTCTTCGATTGCGAAGTTGAAGAGGAATGGGGACATAGGGCAACCCTGTCGCACAGAGCTATTGACAGCGAATGGTGAGGAAATCTTGGCGTAGGTAAGGTTAAAACTGATAACGTTGAATTGTCCCGTGCTCTGTGCCCAGAAACAATTGAGGCAATCAATTAGATTGCCTTGGACCTGATTACGTCATTCTTACCAGTTTTATCTGCTTATCTTTGTTACTAAGTGTGGACCCTATATATTGCGTGTTTTGTTTTGCCTGTATTGCGTAGCGACTGACGAGAGCAATCGAAATGTTAACATATCGCAACTAATGTCTTCTGACTGCCTTAATGAAGTGGTTGTAGGGGACTCAGTGTTTCAAGTTTCTTATTTCTAATTGCACAGAAAGACGTATGTCCAGTAGAAATTAAGCCTTCAGTGTATATCTTCACCCAAGTTGATTCATACATTACGAAGTTGGATTATTTGTGCCATGAAGTTGAAGGTGTGCAAAGCTGACTTTGCCATTGTTTGAGTCAGTAAAGCAAGCTTGCTAAGGACTAGACATCCTTTTGGTTCGCGGTTCAGTTGTAGGCAACACTTTTCGACTTTTGTCATGTTCCCCTATGCAGTTACTCTGTGTGGACGTCGTTCTTTTCCGTCATTCAGTTAGTAGTGCAAATTCGCAGCGTCATTCCTTTCAGGTACATAAAATATAGGGGGAACATTCAAAACTATCATTCGTTTCGTTCGGGCAGAGCGGTTTGACCCCAGTTTTTCGTTTTCAAGCAGACAATTCGGTACGACTCTATGATGGCCTGAAATGCTTCCGAAGACTTACAACCGCACAAGTTTGTTTGACGACTGGAACATGGAAAGATTTCGGGGACAACTAGCATCAGAATAGCACCAGACGATTCGAACAGCTTAAAGACAAGAGGCAGACGGGTGTGTAGGACCAACTGGATGAATACTCTAATGGGCTTGCGGTTCCACTTGCACATAGTACATTACCAATGTCCATGAAAAGGACGGATT